GAGGCCCTGAGCTCACGTCCCAGTACAAGGAAAAGACACTTACAATTATGGAAGGATAACCATACACAGTACTGGAGCAGATGTGGAGCAGCAGGGACAGTCTACACTATGGCAGGAATGTAAAGGATTCCACTTTGGCAAACAGCTTGGCAGGTTCTTTAAGTGCACCGCCACCTCATGGTCCACACATTCCACTCCTAGGCATCAGGAAGAGAGGTGCAAGTACAGTTCTACACAAAGACTATGGGGAAACGTTGGCAGCTACTGTGCTGATGAGAGCTGAATTCTGCATGTACATCCAATGGGACCAAGTGAATGGGTAGACAACTTTAATAGATGCAAAGAAATACTCAGCACTGAAAAGGAACCGATATACACAAAGCATGACACTGCAAAAAAAAACTGCTAGAAGATGGATGAGAACATATAGAGTGTATGATTATGTAATATGTTAAAATTTATTTACAGTGAGAAAAGCAGTAGTTCCTTGTAAGCAAGAAGGTAAAAAAGAGAGCAGGAAACTACTAAGGAGAATGCATACATTTATTATCCTCGTTGTACTGAAGGTGCCTTAGGGCACAACCTAAAGGTGTGCAATTTATTATATATCAATTATGCCTCAATAAACTATGTGGGAAAACAGTTGCTGAACAGTGATGGGTTACAATCTGGCAGGTCAGGAGCCCTGCCTGTTCTCCTGGCACCTCTCACCAAGTGCCCCAAGAAGAGGCTTTCAGAGCAATCCTTAGCCTTCCTCCCAGGCTTTATACATATCATCAGCCACCCAATTCCTCTTCTGTAGCAATGGGCCCCAAAATCTATTCTCTCTGGCCCCAGGGAATTAGATAGAGAGTAAAATGTTCACACTGTCAGGATAATGAGCCCAAATTTAAGGGTTTTTTTTCTTTCTTTCTTTCTTCCTAATGCAAAGGCTACTTCATGAAGTCAGCCGGTAGAAACATTACAAACATTCCAGCCAAGCCTCTATGCCAGAGCATGGGAAAATGGAAGTAGGGGCTGACTCAAATGGAGGTTACAGGTAAGTTCAAACTCAAGGGCTAAAAAGGCACAGCTAAATAGCCTCAATAATTTTCCAAAGATTGTTTCATACAGATTTTAACCAACAGCCTTGGTAATTTTACAATACCTGTTTAGCACAGTTTCTGATCACTGTCCCTACCCAGAAGAGACATAAGCCCCTAGACTAGTACATGTAAGTAAAAACCTACTACCAGGTTCCCTTTTGCCTTGCAAGACTTCTCTTTTCTTCTCACTTAAATAAATCCTACTCCTTTCACACTTGCCTTCCATTGTTATCCATGGATTTCATTCTTCAAATTTATCAGAAAAGAACTCAGAAAGAAATTGGTGGTCAGCTGCTAGGTCCCCCATTAAGAGCTGCAACGTGCCACTCCACTTGGAATCCCCAACTCTATCACAACCCTGTGCTCAATATGGTCTCGAAAGTAAAAAAAGAAAAAGAAAAACAGACGAATGAGTCCATCACCCAGCCTCTCTGGACAAAGACGGTTCCTTCACTGACTACACAGAGGCCCAACCCATCCTTGCCACAGGTACCTTCACTGCCTCATTGATCACTTGGACTTTGTGCAATGGGCAGAACTTTGGAATCAGATTTCTGAAGAAGGCCAGTGGTTCAGTGGTGCTCCAGGGCTCACAGGAAGCTGCGGGGTCAGGGGGCGTGTCAGAGAAGCGCAGATGGAGAAAGACAAGAGCCAAACTGGGGGCGGCTGAGTGATCACCCTATGCTTTCCCAAATGCACCCGGGAAGGAATATCTCCAAACTGCACAAACCGCTGTTCCCAGCGCCCCTCACCCCGGGAAGGTCCAGGCTGTCCCTCTCAGGCCCCACTGGGGCTGGGAACGTGGAGTCCCAGTCCGCTCCACCACACAGGAGTGCACGTGCAGCAGCTCTGGGGTCAGTGACCAAGCTCAACCCAGCACAGCCTGCTAAGGGCAAGAAGTCACGGAGAGCAGGGTGGTCCGGCGTGTTCCTGACCTTCTCCAACCTGAGCAGGACGCAACGGGCCCTCGCCTTGCAATTGACGTGAGCCCAGCACCAAATCGCGGTCCGCAGTGGACGCGGATCCCCGCAGCCGCTCCCACGGGAGGAGTTTAAGAGGTGCCATCACCACCCGCCAGGTGCTGGCAGACCTGCACCCCCTGGTGATGCCACCGGCCTGCGCCACAGCCGCTGCGCACCGCTGCTGCCCCAGCCCCTCCAGGAGGCCTTGGGGTTCGCCACCCCGACGCGTCAGAGGATAGTGGGGGCTTCAGGGGACTTGTCAGGTCCCGCAGCCCCTGCTTGGAGGAGTGCCTGGGGGTGGGGGTGCTCGTGTCAAATACCAGCAGCTTCAGATTTAAAAACCAGCCCTGTGGCTATCTGTGGGCGCCCAGCCACAGACACTATGTTAAGAGTGGAGATTGAACAGAGCACTTTAAAGGGTTAACGGGTAATAGAAGAAAACAGGGAAGAAATTTTTAAAGTTCTTAGCATCGCGGGGCCTGCTGAAACACTCTTGTCATCCCAGAAGCTGGGGAGGCTGAGCCAGGAGGATCATAAGTTCAAAGTCAGCCTCAGCGATTTAGTGAAGCCCTACGCAATTTAGCAAGACTCTGTCTAAACATAAAATATCTTAAAAGTGCTGGGGATGTGGCTCTGTAGTTACGCGCCTCTGGGTTCAATCTCTAGCCAAAAAAAAATTATTAAAATTTAATGAGAATAGTGATATGATATAGCCCCCCCCAAATATCCCCCAATCAGAATCGTAATAGGTTCTCTCCTTGTCAATAAGATTTTTACAAAAAATGTCAGCAGGGGCTGGGGTTGAAGCTCAGTGGTACAGCGCTTACCTGGCATGTGTGAGGCACTGGGTTCAATTCTCAGTACCACATATAAATAAATAAAGGTCCATCAACCACTGGGAAAAAAATAAATATCAGCAGGATTTGAGGTTTGAGGTTTATTCCTTCTTGTAATAGCTCCCACAGTGCCCATACCACAGGAGGACACTGACACCACAGCCTGGCCATGAAGTCCAATTTGCAAAATAAGATTTTCTTTAATCTCGAAATAGAGCCTAACTGTTCAGACATCTAAATGCATGTGACCCCCACCTCCTAGGACACCCATCTTCCTTTTTTTTGCTGTGTGGTATCTGAAAGGGAAATGCCTTTTTGCCCTTGCATCAGGTGAGAAATAGTGGGAGAAATAATGGCCTACTCTGGATACTTCTTGTCAGAAGGCCTTACTCTTTCTGAAGATAGTGTCTCTCCTGGGCTTTGTTTCTGAGGAGAGGTATTACTGAGGAAGTGAATTCTTTCCCTGTGGCATGAAAAGGGGGAGGTCAGGGTCTACTCTCTGAAGTCAGGGGAGCCAGACCTCTGCAAGCTGGAATTTGACTACTGTGAATTGAGATCTGTTGGGGGCTTAAAATAGAGTGAGTTTTGAAGATATAGCTTCAAAAATGTATACACTTCATTAATAATTTTATATTGGTCACAAATGATATTATTCTGCATATATTGCTTAAGCCTCACTTTGTTGTTGAGGCTGGTTTTGAACCTGTGATCTTCCTGATTCAGCCTCCAAAGTCACTGGGATTACAGGTGTGAATTGCACCCAGCTTTTAATTTTTAATTTGAATGTTAGAAAAATCTTCCATTACAATTGTGACTCACATTTTGTTTGGGTTGGACCTTGCTGCTTATGGTATTGTTTCACAGTTCAAAGCTCAAGATTCCTCTTGATAAGACCAGAGAGCAGAAAATTAAATAAAATTTTAAAGTAATTGATATTATATAATTTACCTTCATGAATAATCAGGCACATACAATTAATAAACTGATATGGTCAAGGTGAATAGGAGACAAGGTTAAATGCAAATATCTTCCTGGATAGGCTAGATTCCACTACTTAGCATGAGTCATCCCTTAAAGTAGCTCAAGTCTGAAGCTCTGGGTTCAATGTCCAGAACCATTAAAAAAAGAAAAGAAGCCTGGTGGGGAATGACTGAAATCCCCATGATTCCAAGTTGAGTTCTGGGGTGACCGCTCAGAAAACACACTAAGTCCGAATTTGAAACGAATCGAAGAATTTTATTTTATCTATGTTTTCCTGGTCAGGGACGCTTCTGTCATGTCCCAAACGGCCTTCTGATAGAAGCGCGCCAGGCTGTCTGTGGTTCCAGTATTTAAGGAAGAAAATCATATCCTGTGGAATCTGCAAATTGCAAGCACAGGGTCTAAAGGCTGAAAAAAGCAGTGAGCAGAGCTGAGTCAGACAACCACGTCTCGGGGTCGCGCACAGTTGTGGTTGTACATCCTGGGTTCGAGCACATTTGCAGATGTATGAATCACAGAAAAACAATTTTTTAAATACTTTTTAAAAACAGTTATATAACAGTTTCACATGGGAGCCATAAATATGGAGTCACTGTGGCTATACTTATTATTTTATTAATCTATATTTTTAATCTATAATTTATTAATTGTATTGATCAATTCAGATCATAACAGTTAGAGGCCAGCCTGAGCAATTGAGAAAGACCTGTCTCAAAATTAAAATAAAAAAATTAACTGGGGATGTTCTCAGTGACCTTGGGTTAAATCCTTAGCACTGAAGGAGAAAGACAAAAGAAAACAAAACGGTACCCAAGAACCTGTGGTTCTCTTCTCATTCATTCCTTGGTTGGGTGCAATCTACTGTCACTCAGTCCATTGGCTCAATGGGCCGCGTTCCAGAGGGCGGGCCCTGAAGTCCTGTCCAATCAGGGGCACGTGAAGGAAATCTGACCAATCCAGCGCAGAACCTGTGAAGAGGGGGCGGGCGTCTGCCTCCTGAGCTGCTCTGGTCTTTGGAGTCCGCCATTCTTCCGATCCACCTGCAGCCTCACTGTTCTGTGTCCTGCCGTCCACGTCGCTCTACCACGGAGGCGCTGGGGACCCACCGGAGAGCGCTGCGCTCCCGTCCGCGGGAAATGGTGAGTGAGCCGGGGCGTCTGGAGCCCGGGCGCTGCGTGGAACTGGCAGGACTGTTGCGGCGGGAACCTGAAACGGTGGGTGGGACACCCCGTCCTCTCCAGTCTGCAGCCCCGAGTCCTCCTCGGGGCAGCGGCGCCCTCAGCTGCCCTGGCCGTCCTAGCGGGGCGTAGGTCCGCCGCGGCGGGGACCCAGCCCCCTCTCGGGTCACTGCGTGGTCGCCTCCGCCCTGTCTGGGCAGCAGCCTGCCAGCAGCCCGGCCTCGCCCCAGCTGTGCGGTGAGACTAGGGACCATCCTCAGGAAGGGTCCACCTCTGTGCATGGTGTTTCTGCGGAAGGATGGCTGGGGTCTCCTCTTGGGCCTCCAGAATGTGCGGGAAGCAGCACGTCCAACGCAGAGGAGCCTGTCCTGCAGCCTGGCTCTTTATAAATGCCTACGTTTATAGATTTATCCAGGTTGTGAACTATTTGTTTCTCATGCTGCATGGACACAGTATTTTACTAATATTTTTTTCCAAGTACTGAATGGTACTTTTTAAAGATCTGGTTTTTCATTTTGAGCATTTTTCATGAGAGGAAAGCAGTGAATTTTTTGACCATTGGGGAGAAAATTGTGTGTGCTTTTCCTTTTGTATTTCCTTGGCACAAAAACTTATCATGATTTTTGAGTTGAGATTCCCCTCTGCAGATATCAGTGTTTGAGATGTACTCACCTGACCCTCCCATCTTTTCCTGGCCCTGGGTTTCAGAACTGCCTGACACAGGTTGTCACAACTCCATGTCTAAATCCTCTTGGAGTGTCTACTGAACGCCATTCCCTGGGTCTTGTGCTCCCAGAGAGTAGTTGGAGGTGCGAGGGTGAAACCTCTCAGGGGAGTAGCTGAATGTTCTGCTAGATCCCCGCCCTCCACCTAAAAGGCATTTCAGTTGTTTCTTTTATTAGCTACTATGAATAGCACTATAATCAAAATAAGAGCACAGTCATTTCTTTGACATACTGATTCCAATCCCTTTAGATATGTACCTAGAATTATTTGGCAAGTTTTGACAGTGGCCACTTTAATTGCACTGTTCAGGCTGCAGGAAGTCTACTATTTGTGCATTAAGTCCCTGATGAAAATTAGAATCCAGCCTGTCAAATTGCCACTGGAAGAGTGTGCTGTGACTTTGTGTGTATGCTTTTTATCCTTTTCTTCACTCCTGGTGGGAATTGTGCCCAAGGAGGTACTTGCCCACCAGTGTAAAACCATTTGTTTGTGATCTGTGGAGATTTGCACATGCTCAGTTACCTTTGTTTGTAGAACTCAGGAGGTTTGGATGGAGACCCAGGAAGAAAAGGTGTTGAAGTTGATTCTGGCTATATAGGAGCTCAGTCATCTGCAGCAGCAGTTGGCAGAGTGAACTGGCAGACCCAGAGCCCTTCTAGGGATAAACTGACACCTTTGAGATTTAACCCATTGTCTTCCCTGGTCCCTGGTGATGAAGCCCATGGAAGTACTTGCATGTCCATAAAAAATCACTTTTTCCTGTGGTCTTGATACTTGTGTGTGTGTAGTCCCCTCCTCTCTCAGCACTAGACAAATTAGGATGCAAACCACAGAAAACTTTAGAGTTAAGATATGTAGAGTCCCAATCTTCCTCTCCTGGGTCTCTCAATTTACTTATGACATGACTTTGTCTAAGGACTTGAAACATGAGTAGATATTTATTCAGTGTATCCATAGATGGAGGGAGAGTCAGGAGCCTCCTATTCTGCTGAATTTCCAACATTATCCTCCATTAATACCTGCCTTTTATTGTGGTACTGGAGTTTGAACCCAGACCTTGCACATTCTGCATGCACACTCTACCAGTGAACTATGCTACCAGTTCCTGCACCTACCTTTAGATTGGGCTGACCATGCATTGAAATCTAATGTAATTCTTCATGTTTGGATTCATATTGCCTTTCTGTTGCTCTTGGCAATAGAAAATTTGCATACACATGAATTTAGCTATGTATTTTGTTTGTGTTATGAATTCTTATTATTAATGCAATATTAGTTTTATACATTAGTGTCAGGTAATGATAGCTACTTCTCTTTTTTTCTAATTTAGGAGGAATTTTTTTATTTGTTCTAATTATTTATACATGACAGCAGAATGCATTTCAACTCATTGTACACAAATGGGTACAACGTCTCATTTCTATGGTTGTACATGATGCACAGTTACACCATTCCTGCATCATGGGTAATAATATACATAGGGTAATAATGTCACTCTCATTCCACAATCCTTCCCACTCCACCTCCATCCCCTCCTCTCACTATCCTCTGCCCACTCCCAAGTTCTTCTGTCTTTCCATAGTACCCCACCCCCATTATGGATCAGCATCTGCATATCAGAGAAAACATTTGGCCTTTGGTTTTTTGGGTTTGGCTTATTTCACTTAGCATGATATTCTCTAGCTCCATCCATTTACCTGCAAATACCATAATTTTGTTCTTCTTTAAGACTGAGTAATATTCCATTGTGTATGTATATAGCACAGTTTCTTTATCCATTCATCTATTGAAGGGCATCTAGGTTGGTTCTGTAGTTTAGCTATTGTGATTTGAGCTGCTATAAACATTGACATGGTCATGTCACTGTGGTATCCTCATTTTAAGTCCTTTTGTTATAAACCAAGGGTAGGATAGCTGGATCAAGGAGTGGTTCCATTCCAACTTTTCTAAGGAATCTCCWTACTGCTTTCCATAGTGTTGCACTAATTTGCATTCCCACCAGCAATGTCTGAGCATTCCTTTCCCCCCACATTCCCCACCAACACTTACTGTTGCTTGTATTCTTGATGATTGCCATTCTGACTAGAGTTAGGTGATATCATAGAGTAGTTTTGATTTGCATTTCTCTAATTTCTAGAGATGTTGAACATTTTTCCATATAATTGTTGATTGGTTGTATTTCTTCTGGAAACTGTCTATTCAGTTCCTTAGCCCATTTACTGATTGGGTTATTTGGCTTTCTGGTGTTAAGTTTTTTGAGTTCCTATATTCTAGAGATTAGTGCTCTATCTGAAATGCATGTGGTAAAGATTTTCTCCAATCTGTAGGCTCTCTCTTTGTGTTATTGATTGTTTCCTTTGCTGAGAAGAAGCTTTTTAGTTTGAATCCATCCCATTTATTGATTCTTCTTGTGTATGTGTGGTGCTGCGGATTGAACCTTGTGCGTGGGAGGCAAGCACTCTGCCAGTGAGCTATATCCTCAGCCCTTATTTATTGATTCTTGATTTTATGCCTTGTACTTTAGGAGCCTTGTTAATGAAGTCAGGTCCTAAGCCAGCATGATGAAGATTTGGACGTACTTTTTCTTCTCTTATGTCAAGCATCTCTGGTCTAATTCCTAGGTCCTTGATCTACTTTGAGTTGAGTTTTGTGCAGGTTGAGAGATAGGGGTTTAATTTCATTTTGCTATATATGGATTTCCAGTTTCCCCAGCACCATTTGTTGGAGAGGCTATCTTTTCTAAAGGAATGCTTTTGGCACCTTTGTCTAGTATGAGATAACTGTATTTGTGTGGGTTTGTCTCTGCGTCATCTATTCTGTACCATTGGTACATGTTTATTTTGGTACCAGTACCATGACGTTTTTGTTACTATGGCTCTGAAGTATAGTTTAAGGTCTGGTATTGTGATGCTTCCTGCTCACTCTTCTTGCTAAGGATTGCTTTGGCTATTCTGGGTCTCTTTATTTCTCCAAATGAATTTMTTTTATTTTATATTTTTAATTCTAGATAAACAATATCTTTATTTCATTTATTTATTTCATGCTGAAGTTCAAACCCAGTACCTAAAGTACCTGAAGTTCAAAACCAGTACGTGCTAGGCAAGGGCTCTACCACTGAGCTACAAACTCCAGCCCTCCAAATGAATTTCATGATTACTTTTTCTATTCTATAAAGAACATCCTTGGGATATTAATAGAAATTGCATTAAATCTGTTTAACACTTTATGGTCATTTTTAAAATATTATTTTAGATGTTAATGGACCTTTATTTTATTCATTTATTTATATGTGGTGCTGAGAATTAAACCCAGTGCCTCACACAGGCTAGGCAAGCACTCTACCATTGAGCCACAACCCCAGCCCAACTTTATGGTCATAGTGACAACATTAATTCTGCCTATCCAGGAACATGGAAGATCTTTCCATCTTCTAAGATCTTCTTCAGTTTCTTTCTTCAGGGTTCTATAGCTTTTATGGTAGAGGTCTTTCACCTCTTTTGTTAGATTGATTCCCAAGTATTTTATCTTTTTTGAGGTTATTGTGAATGGGAAAGTTGTCTTAATTTCTCCTTCAGTCTACTTTGCTGAATTCATTTCTGAGTTCTAGAAGTTTTCTGGAGTGTTTTGGGGCTTCTAAGTATAGAAATATGTCTTTGGCCAATAGGGATAGTTTGAGCTCTTCTTTTCATATACATAACTTTTTACTTTCTTTCTTTTGTCTAATTGCTTCTGGCTAGGATTTCAAGAATTATGTTCAATGGAAGTGGTAAAAGAAGGCATCCCTATCTTGTTCCAGTTTTTAGAGATAATCCTTTCTCTCTCTCTCTCTCTCTCTCTCTCTCTCTCTCTCTCTCTSTCTCTCTCTCTCWCACACACACACACACACACACACACACACTTCAATGTCCCTTTTACAAGGTCAGCTATTCTTCAAGGTAAGAAGCTGTGTTTAAAAAGGGTTGTAGCCAGGAATCTATCAGTCTTGTGTTCTGCAGCCACTGTTCTTCACCTGCCACTCAGGGCTAGAGGACTCCAAACCTCAAACTTTGACCACTCAGGGTGGATGGGATGACAGTTACCAATCAGAGGCACAGACAGGTAACAGGAGGTGGACTTCACATGTGGAAGGTTTTGTCTCTGGCTCCAGCTAAGCTCTGAGTCCATCTTCATGTTCTCTGATATGTGGGTGGCTTTGTCACTCTGACCTATAGGTGCTGGAGGATTTGTAGAGAGGTTGCCTTGAAATACTAGAAGCCAGGAAATGGTTAAGTCTACAGGGGATTAGGGTTGGTTGGAAGCAGCCACACCTG